TATGTACATGATTTCCTTTTTCTATCATTGATTATTCTTAATCGAAAGTAGCTAATTTATTTTTTAATTTTAAATATTTAAAAACAAATATGAAAAATAATTCCATGAAAATTGAATCTTTATAATGATTTGATGAACGAAATGATTCTACAATATGAATAAATAATTCCAATGTTGCCAAACAAATGCTAGTTAATGCACCAATGAACACCATCTTCCTACCATACTACCTTTACCACAAACACCTTATTTTATTATTTCCAACATATGTGTGTCAAAAATACCAGGAACACCGATACCCCTAAATATCTTCTTTAGATTGTGAATAAAATTTAAAGCGAATTTTAAATTAGGGACAAAATTTCAGACACGTAAATATTGCAGAACTAGTCCGATATCCCGGACTGCATTGTTTCTCAATGAAAAAACACTATTCCTCGTATTTGTAAGTTTCATAACTTCAAATACCGAATAAATAGTAATTTGACGCAAACTTAATGCAACGCACTCATTATCTGTCAACGGAATTTATATTTACAAAACTAATAATATATTAAAATGCACTTATGTATGTATGTAAAAAAAATTCAAAAACGATAATAAAAAACATAAAACTCTTTCTTAATTTTTTTTTCATTTCTTTTAGTTAATTAAAATTCAGTTTTTCTGTATATTCAAAATTTCAATGAAAACAAATTAATTGCGGCATTTTTAAAAATCATTTTATATTTTTATAAAATTTAATATTATTAATATCATAAAATAACTGTGAATATGTGTGCGTACTAATTTACATAAATGTATACAGTATACTTCTTATTTATATAGAAATAGAAATCTTTAGTATTCAATTTTAATTAAGTGTTTACTCGGACAATTTTTGTGTTACTTATGAAAAATAAAATTGAACAGAATCTGAATTTTTTTTATTAAAAATTAAAAATATTCGGTATACCTTCTATATATTTTCTGAAAATTATTTAAAAAATTTACTACCAGTTTATAAAATGAAGAGTTTTTCAAATTATCTAAATAGAATTTTCGAATTTGAGCCGCATTCGAAATAAAGCTTTTCAATTTTCTACTATAATTTTAAAAAAATACTTAAATTTTTCTTTGAGGTATTCTCGGCTTTTAATATTCTCATTTTTTATTCGGTAATATTTTTCACTACTTTACGATCTTTTAAAAGTTTTTTATAAAGAGAAAACACTGTTTCTACGAATTTAAAATTACACATACACATATTTATGCATACAGTATTAATTGTATATTATATAGCATCATGAGTGACAAATTAAACAGAAAAATGCCAAGGACGATAAATACTATATTAGCTACATATATATAAATGCTATATTAACATTCTGAATTTCCGAATATGTTGGGAGCATTGGGCGTAATTGAAAAAATGGAATATGTAAGCGAATTAGTTGAATAAGATTTCATAATGATTTAAATAAAATTTTGTATAATACAATTAATGTTTAGCATGTTCTATATAAAATTAATTAGAATTTTACAATACAAATATAGTAAATACCATATACGATATCTTATACGATATAATTATAATTATACAAAATTTAATTATAATTTAACTAAAATTATAAGAACGTTTTTTAACTATTTCTCTTAACATGTATTTTTATCATGGCATTTAGTTGCCAAGAAATTTTCAAATTCACAAAGTCAAGTACAAGTAAATTAGTATAGCTTTTTTTTGCTTCTCTGCAATTCCGTTATTTATTTTCCGAATTTTCAATGAATTAAATTAAATGTGACGCACTTTTTTCCCCCTTTTTATTACATATAAACCACAAACATATTATATGCCGAAAATTTTAAATTATCTTTTAATTAACTTTTTAAGATACCCATATTATTTTATATACAGTCGCTTTACATCAGAATTATCCTAAGTCATATTTTGAAAAATTTGCAGGACAATGATTTTATATGTGAAAATTATTTCTTCTACGGTTTAAAAAATTAGATAAAATGTATAATTAGTAAAACTTTTTAAATTTCATTTTTCAACTATTTTTATAAAATTAAAATATGCACATTTTTCTTTTACGAACTCAGCTTCAATGAACACTGAAATTGTAAATTTTGTAAAATGTAAATTTTGAGTTTATGTGTCTAGCTTTAATGGCAATAATAACGAAAAAATGTAAGTTTTTATTTCATAATTTGCAGTCATTAAACAAGTTAATTACATATTTGGTAAATTTTAAAAATAAAAAAAAAAGCTGACAAAATTTGACATTCTCGACAATTCCAATACTAAATGATTCAAGTTTACAGGGCTTCTATAAATGCATATTTTTTGCAAACTCATTGCCAAATTTTGTGCACATTTTAATTTAACAATAACGAGATTTATATTTTACAAAAAAGAGTCCTAAAATAATTTTTTATAAAAGAATTGTGAATTGGGAAAGTATTTAAAAAGGAAATTTTTTAAATATGTACAAATAAACTTCAAAAAACGGACAAAAAACGTAAATCGGCCTATGGTTTTAAAATCAACAGTAAATATAATATTAAAATCTAATGCGAGTAAAGAAACAGAATTTGGCTCAAAAGTTGACTTGGCATACTTTTGATTTACAGAAACGATATATTTATATCATTTATACAATATACATATATTATGTCGTATAATATACAAATTAATATTTCTAATGCCAAATGTTTGTTTTCCGCTTTATTTTTTCTTCTTAATAAAAAATAAAACAATAATTAAATTTAATTATACAAAAATTCTAATTATTTTATTTTAATGTAAAGAATCTCTCTTTTAAACTTGTTAAATAAATGAAATTTATTTTTTCAAGGCATTTGTTTTTTATGGGGTTATTTACATATGGGTAAATAATATTAAAAATTATTCTCTATACAATAAAATACACTCGAATACATATGTATATAATATATAAGGAAAACAAATAATATTTTAAGAGGATTTTTTTCAACATCTTGAATAAAAAATTTATGCATTATACTTATCCTATATAAAAGTAAAATAATTTCAGTTGTCTGATTTAACATCGATAAGGAAAAGCTTTATGAATTTATAAAAAAGACAAAATTTTCATCAACCTCATTACAATTCCGTGAAAATTTTAAATGGATTTTATCAGATTAAAAATACGTAAGCATATGTTTACAAAAAAAAAAAAAATATGTGAATTTTTTACGATTTGAATTTTGAAATAAAATGTAATAAAAGTTTCCAAATCCCTATGTAATATTTGCAAATTTATACCATTGCAACGAAATTTCTAATTAAAAATATTATTAATTCTATTGCATAAAATTATTATAAAATTTAATTCCAAAGCAATTTAATTTTACTCTTGTTTTAATAAATATTAACATCTTGTTTATAATTATTACAAAAATATCACCTATACTGAAATTTATTTCCCATTTTTATTATTTCTTCTCGCATTTATTGCCTTTTCAAACAAAAATCCATATTATTAATAAATACATGTTTTCTCCTAAATAAATACATATATAATATATATATATATAAAAAAATTCTTTTACAAAATATTCATCATTAAAATTTATTAGCTTAAAATAATTTACTTTAAAAAAAATATCATAAAAATTAAAAAATTATATTGGTCATAAATTAAATACCAAAAGACAAAATTTTATTTATAATAAATTTTCCAAAATAAATATAAATAACTATGTATATATACTATGTAAGTATATTACATTTAAGAACAATATTAACTATGTAACACCACTGGATTTAACATTTATATTATAAAATATTAATTACACACACTATAAATACCTATTTAAAATTAGTATTATTTTTAAATCTATTTATTTTATTGTTATATTTCGGGCATTCAAATTAATATTATTCAAGTTATTCATATAAAACTTACTAAATTTTTAAAAGTACGAGTTATCAATACATCCAAATATAATTATTTTATGAAAAATTGAATTATGCACTTAAGAAAAATATAAATTATATATTTACATTAAAATAGCATTTCCAATTGAATATTGAAAATATTGCTGGTAAAAATAATAATAAATGTCAAGAAATAATTGTCAATAAAAAAAAATTAATATAGATCAAATCGATTGAAGCTACTATACTGAGGAATTTCTGAACTGGCTGTTTTAAATAAACGCTCTTTTTTTTCTCATGTCGTCGAACTTCATTGGAATGCTAGGCGACCATGACTATATGGAAAAATTAAAAAATTCGTTTATGCAAGAATAAATATTTTGCTCCATTAATTAAATTACGTAGTATATAGTATAGCACGTACATATATTAAAGGTATATTAACCATAATATTAGTGTTCCTAATAAAACAAACAGAAATTTGTTTAAAAATAATTATTACATATCAAAATATGTATGAATATATACATAATATATACAACCATGGTATGTATTTATAATTTATAAACAGACTGTATGTATATAATTAATTATACAAAAATATATTTATGTTTAAATTAATTTTAACTAAAATTTCTTTGACTTTGACATTTTTAAAAAATTTTTCTTTTTTATAAAAATTATCGAAATTCAACTGATCATTCTTTCTTTAGCAGATTTTTATTGAAAATATGTACATAGACAGAGTCGGCTAAAAAACCTTGAAAATTTCACGATTTTTCAAATTGTTTTCATATTTTTATTATTATTCTTTTTTTTTTGTATGGAATATTATGAATGCCACAATTATTTTTAAAAAGAAAAAAAATTCCTATTAATATTTTTTTATGTTTTTTTCTTCTGGATTCAATTTCAATATATTTATTTTTTAAGTTGCTTTTATTTATGTATTTACATTATATTAATTTTGGCAATTATACGCGTTTTCAATATATTATCATCTATATATACATACATGTATAATTCATTATAATATATTTCCAGATTTGTTTTAAATTTAATTTTATTCCATACATAATACAAATATACAAAAAAGTTTTGATAAACTAACCATCCTCTATTGGATCGTCTTCGTCAACATATATCATTATTAATTTTGATATTTACTAATATAAAATTATAGCAAATTGAAGCGATTTTAAATTTGACTAGCTACTTAGTTTTTTAAAAATAAAATTAATTAAAAATCATAATGATTTTTTTAATTATCAATGATTATATTTTATTTATTTACACACAAGTATATTTTTTTAATTTTCTTTTTTGTTTTTTCCTCAAAATTAAATTAAAATTTAAAAATCCTATTGCTTCTTTTTAAATGCTAAATATTTTCTTTTGGCCGAACAAAAAAAAAAATCTGAAATTTCAATGCTTTTACTTGTAAAGTAAACCGTTTGAAATTAAAATTACTACTAGAATAGAAAAATAAATGAGATTATGCCGAACTTTATTCCAATCATAAAAATGTTTGACTACAGCGAATTCGCTAAAAGCAATTTTTTCGTTTTTTTTAAATTAACTGCGCATAATCTTAAAATAGTATACCACACGTCTGTTTGCGCACTGATGTTAAAAAAAATAAAAATATTTATAAATTAATTTTATCTACTTAATGGAAAAACAAAACAATCATAATAAACTGCAAAATATTTTCCAATATATAAATATAAAAAATGTATCTTTTAGAGAGTTGTACAATTATTACGATTATCGAGTTAAGTCCTGCATTAAAATTTATAGTCATCGATAAAAAATTATCAACATAAACCCAATTTCAAGAGAATTTGTTTTCTTTTTATTTTTTAAAAGAGGAAATAATTTTACTTAAAAGTTTACCCTATGCTAATCATCCATATTCTATTAATCGCATCACTTGACTTGAATTCACTTTTAAACACTCTCAATTCTAGATGTACATTAATCCTGACAGAATTTTATTTTATACCTCAATCTTGTAATGCAAGAATTAAGTTGATTTTTTATTTGAATCTATTTTTCCTTTCGTTGAATCAAATAAATTCATAATTTTATGTTTAAGAATTCATAATTATCTAGAATAATTTTAAGATTTTGTAATATAATTTTATTTAAACAAACACAATATTTTCATTTTTATAAATTAGATTTTATTGTTATTATTTATAATTATATTTATGTATATGTAAACAATACGTTAATCACAATCTCAATTTAATGCTACCATTTTTCATCTACAGTATACTTTTTAAATGAAACCATTTCTTCTAATTAACATGACATTCGTAATCAAATAAAAAAAAAATTAAAAGGATCTTAATCCATAATTTTCAAAAATAATAGCTTATCATTAATGAATTAATTCGTAGTGTTAATATTTAATTGTAGATTAAAAATGAAAGTTAAAATGAAGGTACAATGAATTTCTTATTAAATTACCCAAAATTTCAGTCAATTTTGTTTGCATAGTTACGATTTTTTTTTTATAAACATGTACAGTGATAGCCTATAAATTAAAAATCATAATGAATTTTATAAATATATATATATATATATATATTATGTTATTATATATACATATCATAAATATTTATATATATATATATATATATATATATATATATACATGTATGTTTTAACATATCTAAATTATAATGTTTTACATATGTATATATTTAATATTCATACCTTGCACATATACTCAATTTGTAAATATGTATTACTATATATATGTTAAAATTATTTTCTAAATATTTTTATAGTTGCCTAAGAACTTCTTACTAAATATAATTAATTGAAACCTTAAACTTTTGTCAGGCATTATGAATCGCTTTTATTGTATCAAATATCTGTGAATTTAATATAGTATATACAGATTCCTACGAAAAAAAAAACATAAAACTAAAAGAAAATGGAAAAAAATTGATATAAACTCCTTTACAAAAAGTTTTTTCAAAAAACTTTAGCTAGAAAGGCCTAACTATAACATTTATTAAATTAATCATTTTAAAAATCTTTTGAAATTATCTTAGATATTAAATTCAAATATAAATTAAATATTTTTTCAAATTCAATATGATTCATTTCGAAAAAAGTGTTTAATTAATTTAATAATAATATTAATTTATTATTGTTAAAATAATATTAAATTAAAAAAATATTAATTAAAAATTCTATATAAAAAAACACGCAAGACATTTCAACACAATAATAGCGATTCCTATAAATTTTTATATCTTTTATTTAATACATTAATTTTTACGTGCATCATTACATCGAATTTTGTTTAAACATTGAAAATTTGAAAAAAAGAAACGTTAAAATTTATAAGATCAAAAATTTTTGTTACAATTCAGGTCCAAATATTTTACAAAATAGATAAAAATTTAACAATTTAATATCAATTTTATTACTTATCGACAATAAATCATTTATAAGAACAGACAAAAATTATGGTACCAAAATAATTAGTTTGGCCCAGTATATTTTAATCGTTTTTCATATTTTTGAGATAAATTAATTGAAATAATTGGCAAAGTGATAAATACATTTAAAAAACCTTTTTTAAATATAAAAATTTCTTTAGTATATTAGCAATACATATATATTTTTTATTAGTTTCTTTCAGAAAATTAAAAAGATAAAAATAATTGGAATTATGGTAATGCATAAATAAGTTACTGGGGACATTGAAAATCTTCAATATCTACACTATTACGTTTTATTATACATATATGAATATGTAAAACCTTGTCATACATTATATTATAATTTTACAAAACTAAATACTTAAAAACACAACTAAAAATTATTTTCCCGCTTAATTCTATGATATAAAAATTGTTCAGTTTATTACAACATAAGATTATAATATAATAATGATAAATAATGAGATATATAACTATTAATTTTTTTAAATACTAAAAATAGCTAAAATGTGAGTCATTTCAAATAAAACGAAATTTCAAAATAAAAACATATTTCTTAATCAAAGACACAAGGCACCACTGCTTATTTTCAAGATGAATACTTAGCTAATTTTAGCTAACTAAGCTAACAGCTTTATAGTTTATAACACATTAAAATATCAAATATTTACCGTTCAATTAAAATATGCCTAATACAATATTCTAATTAAAAAAGTATGAATTAAAGAGAAAAGTATTAAAACTGAAAAATACAAATGTTTTTAATATAAAAATTCTAATATGTATTTTAAACTTATTTAAATACAATATTTTTATATCAGCGAAATTTACGTTTTAATTTAGAAGAAAATTAGGCAATTATACATTGCAGTAAGTTATAAAAGTTGATCTTCCAAAAAAAAAATACAATTTCTTTCATCAGAAAATAATAAAAAGCAGTTTTTGAAAAATGTTCCCGTCCTGTTTTTCTACTAAGATAATTAGTGAACGATAATATATTAAAATGGCAAGTTAAGTATTTTCTTCTTTACTCAATTATGAAAGAAACATTTCATTTACAAAATATGCCCACAAGAAACGAATTTCAAAGCAAAAATGTATTATTTATAAATTGCAAAATTTAATTTTTTTTAATAAAAAATTGAATCAACATGAAAATTTTTCAAATGAAATATTCTAATTTAATCGATTTACGAATCGACTTCCATAATTGAGCCTATAGTTTAAATATTTGTTGATAATAAATTTAAAATCTAGTTTTAATTTTTTAAAAAGCAATTAAGTAATTGTTCTTATCAGTCTATTTATAATTGAAAAATTTTTCAAAAACATATAAGAATTTTTTAAAATAGAAAAATTCCTTAAATTAATGAAAATAGAATATTATTACATGGACCTTTTATTAACAAACGCGTGATATTTATATAAGTCACAGTTTAAATCACACAAATCTCAAATGTAGAAAAGTTCTATAAACAAAAAAATAAACAATTTAGCACCGACTGATCGCATTTTATACATTCGTTGTTCTTTTATAATTATTTTTACTTGCTTTGTTTTCCTAATACTTTTTTTAAATTTGTTAAATTAAAAATAAAAAAAAAACTACTTTAAAACTAATTGTCAAGAAACCTGTTCGTATTAAAAATAAAGTATTAAAAGTATGTAAATACTAATTAATATGTCATGTAATAACTGTGTATAATGAATCTGAAATTAAAATGATTAAAGTATGAATGAAACTTTCATAAACTGCAAACTGTGACCTCAAAAAAACATATTTCTATAAACATGGTATATTCCTCATCGACACATATTAATTTAATAAAATCCATTTTTTCACGAGTAAAACATTAAAATGTTATTACCACCTAGTTAAAAATATATTTTCACTTTTCTAAATATAAATATACTCTTAAGTAAATAATTGCTAAAAATTTATTCTTACATTTTCTTACATGAATAGATGATTTATTTACTAAAATATTTAAATTAAAAATTTTTATTTAAAATTTTCTTTTATCTTAATTCTTATTTTCTCTTGTTTTTTCAAAATTAAATATAAATTATAATTTTTTTAGTTTTCAACAAACTAAATTTTTATATAATTTAATGTCGCTTCTGCTGCCCGTAATCTGAAAGTTGCTTATGCGTAACATATCCAGCTAAAGTGGGATTATTAGGATTTGTAGTTGATGTTAAAAATACTTTTGGTTTCGCAACCAAATTAATTGAGCTTGGATTAACGTAATTGCTTGTGTCAATAGATGATGTTGGCATGGGATTTGTAATAATTGTTGGTTTATTTCCCAATGTTTCTAAAACTGTATAGCCATTTCCAACAGATGATGGAGGAGGATGCTGAAAAACAAAATATATTTTTAAAACTCAATTGTAAAGTTATCAATGGTATATTTCTATGGTTGCGCAATTTTCAATTTCTGATTTTGTTTAGTTATTCCATATTTCAAAAAACAATTTGAAATTTTTATACGCGATTTATTCGAAACTAAGGGTATTTTCAAGGAACACCATAATTGCTATATTCTTTCATATAAAAATGTATACACTATTTTCTATATTTATATTATTTTAAAAATTAATGATAAGCAACAAACCTTCTGCAAAACACTTTGTTGCACGTATCCATCACCCGCTGAAATATTTCCTGTATTATTCAAACCATTTTGCGGCTGCATTATAAAATTCATTTCTTTTCTTGATTGTAAATCACTTAAATTAGGTGATTCGGATCTTGAACTATGGTTAGATTGATTGCTCATATCACTCATTTCTTCTGAATTTTGACTTTGTGTTGAACTTTGTGCATCATCGTTATTACAAATTACATCATTACTACAATTAACATCGTAGCTTTTTTCAGATTCGCTACAGTTCAAATAACCTATCGAGCCATTATCAATACTACTAAGTAAATGTAAGTTTTCATTGACTTTCTCTATATTTTGTCTTTCAATTGATGGCTTCCCTTGGTTGTTTTTATTGTTTTCTAATTGATTCAAATCGTCTAGCCCAGGAGGTAATACAAAATCAATATTTTTCATTTTTTTAAATTTTTTGACGCCGAAAAAGGTTGACATTGACATAGCAAACACGAAAACTGATATAGCCAACACCAAAAACAAGGTTTGTGTTAATTCTTTTTTACCCAAATTGCATTCAAAACCATAAATCAATTCATCATTTCCAGCTAAAAATTTATATTCTCTAGTTCCACAATATTTATCATTAAATTTTGATTTGGTATTTCTTATATCTTCCTCACAAGTAAAATCGAATTCATCAAATTCACTTTGCAAATAAGAGAATGTAGAACTGAAATAAAAATAGAAATTTTTTAAGTACGCACATAATTGTAAGAATTGGAAAAGAAAATATTTAAAATATTAAATATAATATTTAATATTTTAATAACTTTATGATATGATTAGAAAGTTAACTAAAGCTTAGGAAAATTATACCTAACTTCGTGATCGTCTGGACTTGCTGTTTCATTAGACGTTGGATTACCGCATGGGAAGAATCCAATATGTTCAAAGCGTTCAAAATCAAATTCTTCTTTTGGAATGGCATTTACAGCAGCTCCTTTCACTTCTGCTTTAATTTCAAATGTTTTACAGACTGGTCTGAACGTGCATTTATTTTCAGTGACAAAAGAAACAACTTGAAAAGGTCTTTTATCACCCTGCTTTGAATTGATGGTTATTTTATAGAAACTTATTTTACTGGCTGCAGGATCCACAGGTGGGTCCCACATAATAATTTTTTTATCGCTGTTTTGCAAATCAGAACTTGCAGTTTTCAAGGAATCAGGTTGACCCATCCAAGTTTTGAATGTCAAATCATTGCTGCGACTCGATGGAGACACTGTAAAAGCAATCACATAAACTTTATAATTATGGAAAGATTTTAAGTGCTCAAGCCTATATGTAATAATCGAGCTATTATCTGGTATCTTAACTTTCTCTAATTTCTTGCTGTTTTCATTATAACTGAAATCAATGTGGTTTAATAAAGCTTGATAGAATGTATAACAATTATAAATTAACAGATCTTACAATATTTCATAATATCTTATATCTCCATTTTTATTTTCTGGAACTTCCCATTGTATTGTTGCATAATTGCTAGTTTTATTAACGAGAACCAAATTCCTCGGAATGGATGGAGCTTAAATGGCAAAATATATTAAAAATAATGGTCGAAATTGAGCTGATAAATTTGTACCTGCTTCCATTGTAGTAGCATAAATAGGTTTACTTAGTTTTGGTCCAGACTTTGTTTCCGAGAACATGTTAATGTTTATTTTATAGCTTTTGTATGGTTTTAAATTTCTCAACACATATTCACCAGGTGCCTTATTTTTGGTGATATTTATATATTGCTCTGGCTCCGTACAATTAGGCTCAATACCTTGCGTTAACCCATTCACGTTCTCTGTATAAGGACAATAAGTCAAATTATAGCCCTTCAAAATAGGTCTGTAAACACAGTCCAAATTCCATGAAATCGTAATAGTTTGTTTCTCTGCTTTAGATGATAACACCTGTACTTCGTCAAAATCGCCTGTTTTTCGTCCAGTACATGGTGCCCACACAATTCCAGAACTAAAATGCTCGTAATTCGCGGACACACCAAAATTTAAGTGATAATCAATATTAATTTTTGGTTTTGTAAAATTCTTTTGATTTTTATCTACACGCTCAAAATGAATTGAACCTTCATCTGAATTCTAAAATTTTATAATACTGAAAATTTATGCAAAAAAAAATTTATATCAAATTTACTTCACAATCTGTATGAGATTCTTGAGTTGATTTACACCAAAACACAGTATAATCTTGTAATTGATATTTATAATTTATCGGTTCATCCCATGTAAGCTCATAACTATTGTTATGGAATATCTTATTAAAGTATCTGGGCAAGTAGTAGTCTTTTGGATATTCATCCCGTCTTGGAATACGTATTACACTGTAATTATTGGATTCTCCTATTTCATTCACACTTTTAATTCGAAATTCATATTCATTAGAAGAATTGTAATGATAAGTTGCTGTGTTTAATGCCATTTTGAGTGCTTGCAGGTTCCTAATAATAAAAATTTTGAAAATTAAACAAAGTTGGAAAACAAAATATTGTTACGTACATTTTGATTCCATTAACAATAATACTTTTCACAATATATCTAGTATTTTTTCCATTTTGTTTGTATGATGCTAAAGTTTCCCAATATAAATTAACTTTACGATTAGAATTGTCAATGTAAAAGCTTCCCACATCAGTTTTTGGTGCGCTATCTGGAGTTCTAGAGCCTGTTTGAGATGTTATCTTGCAAGTATCACTCCAAGGAGTATCTTTGACCTTTGGCGATTTAACCCTTAACCGGACACGAATGTCATACCTTTTAAAACACAAAGAACATTTTAATAAAATTTATAGCTACTTAAAAAAAAAACTGTTACCATGTGTAAGCATATTCCAAATTTTCAAGTTTAATTGTATAATTGATCGTGTTCTTTGAGTCCGGTATTGTTACATTGTACAAAATAAAATCGTCATCATTTTTCTCCTTCTTATTTAACTCTGGAAGATATTTTATTTCGAATATTAAAGAATATCCTTTACAATTTTTGAAGAAAGGTGCCCGACTGTAAGTCCATGAAAACATTAAACTGTCAAACGTTGATTTAACTAATGTTAAATTAGGTGTTGCTGGCTTCACTACATTTTATTTAAACATAAAAAGATTACACTTCTAAAACAAAACTAAATATAAAAGCTTTACTTACTTTTGTCAACTTGATTAATATTAAACGACTGATTCAAAGATCCCAGAGAATTATTGATCTTCAATGTAAAGTTATAATTTTCATGTACTTGATAATATGCTATTCCAGTAATATTGCAAACATATTTATTACTAGAAGGATCTAAATTGAGTCCAATACAATCATGAACATACTGCTGCAGTATAAATAAATTATTTTCATCTTCTATCTTCAATATTTATTATTATTATTTTAGTTTTTTTTTTAATTTCATATTACCAAAATTCAATTAATTTTAAGATACAAACAAAGATAAAAATTCATCGTGCATCGTGCATTTAAGGTATATTTTTTTAAATTTGAATTTTTTAATAAAAAAAATATTATTTGGCAGGTTGATACATGCAATTAGTACGATTATTGTTGTAAAATTAGTTGATTAGTAAAAGAAAACAAAAGGAATGTATTTAATAATTATAAAAACAAAAATATGAATAAAATTAATGTTTTTTATAATTAATAATGCAAATAGTTGTAATGATGATATAACTTTTAAGTGACTAGTTGAAAGCAATTTATTAATAATAAAGTATTTAGTAGATTCACATGCAGCCATATTTTCTAATTCATTTTCTTATAATTTTAAGCCCAATTGGATTTTTTTTTTAATTTTTTTCAAATAAATACATATATGTTGTAAAATTTATTTTAAATATATTTAATTATTTCATTTTAGTTCACAAAACAATGAATAATATTGAATTAGCACAACTAACAATTTTAACATAAAAATATTAAAATTCTATTAATTGATAGTAGAACAAAATATTTGTAAATTTTAAATTACATATTATTTTCTCAGTTTAGTTATTACATATTTTATTTTTATATATAAACTGTAAGTATAATGTATTTAATACATTCTTATAGTTTATTTATGTTATTAACATATATGTATGATATTTCATAATTAACTTAATTAAAATTTAATAAATTAAATAAATTTGGTATTATAATTTTTAAAAACCCATGCAAACTATCAAACATAAAAAAAATATTAATTACAAATATAGCATTCAAATGTAATAAATTTAATTCCTTTAATAATAAATTTTAAATTTAATAAAATTTAACAATAAAAAGTAGAAAAGTGCAGTGTTTTATAGATTTGTGTATATGTATTTTATTAGTAAATATCAGAAGGTACAAATATATCACATAATTGACAATGAAAGCGTTTTTTCCATAATAATAATTAAAAAAATTATTGACAAAAAGTTTTATAAATAAATCAGAGAATTATTAGTATTTTTTCGATTCCTTTTCAACGGCGTCACAGAATTTTTAAAAATTCTTATTATTCTCATTGATATCTAATGCGATATGTTCAAAATGAATGGCTTTTAAGCCAATGTTTTCTTACTTAGAACCTCATTTACACATGAAATGTGAAGAATTAATTATCATTTATAAATATCAAAAACATGTTTAGTTTGTCTACTAATATCGATTTCAGATACTATTATCGAATAGATTTTTCATTTTTATAAAGATAAAATGTGTGTAATTGAGGTTTAAGTTAAATTTAAATTTTTTTTATCAAAAACATAGTGATTATCACTGTTAATATAGAAGGAAACCATTTAAAATAATTTTTGAAATTTCATACCGACTCAAAGAATATTAAAAGTTAACATTTAACAACATACAATATATAAAAGGAAAATTATATTAAAAAGTATTTAACTTAGAAGAAAGCCTTAACACTTTGTTTCAGTATTCTATTTATAACTTTAACAATTTGTACCTCCTTACCTCTTTGATTACAAAGTCACACTAATTTCATAAATATAATGATTTGAATCATATTTAATCGTCAAAAAATAGTGTATTCGTGTTTTGTGTGTTTATTTTTTTGTATTTAAATAGGAAAATATATTAACCAAAATATAATAAATTATAAAAGAGTAAAGAAATTTATAAAAATTATATAAAAAAACCACAACTGCGATTATTAATATTAAATTTTATTCAGATGTAGAAAATTATGTATTATTTATTAAAGTTGATTATTAAAATACATTTACTTTTTATAGCTTAATTTAATTTTTTCTTAGTTTTGATTTTTTCTTATTAAATTTTATATATACATATCATATGTACTTTCATAGTTTTAAAAACCAATTCATTTTACTTTTTTAAATTTTAAAATAACATTTTTTACATCTGAATAATAAAAGAAAGACTATTGAAACTACAGAGAACTACTTTAAAAAAATCGTTCAAAAATATTTTAATAAAAAACTTCTAAAATGTACTCAAAAAGTGAGTTGTTAAAAAAAAATAGCTTTCAACAAATCGTTTTTAACATTTTAAATAAAATGTGAAAATCAATGAAAAATTAAAGAATATAATAATTAAATTAATTAAAAATTTTACCTCATGTGACACACTATATTCTAATGAATAAGTTTCATACGCCGGATTTGTTGACTCCGAGAAGCTGCATGTTAAATATTCAAAATTATAACCAACACAATCAAAATCAGTTACATTTTGTGGAGGGGTACCTAAAAACAAAATTATAAATTTTGTGCTTCTATTAGAAACTTCAAAAAAATGGAAAAAAAACATAGTTCACTTTCTTTAAATAAAACTCAAAATTATACTAAAACATACCAACTCTAACATATGCATAATCAATTGCGTCATTATTACAATAACATTTAAATCTTTCATTCATCATTGGAGCATTGGGTATTCTTAGTTCAATTGCAGATAAATTTAAAGGCTAAAATTTAATTAAAAAATAAAAGTATTTTAATAAATAAAAGTATTTTAATAAATAATTATTAATAAACAATAAGTGTATATTTTGCGAAAATACCGTAATATATTCATCCGGAACTCTTGTGAGATTTTTATATTCAAAGGAAAAGCCTCTGTCTGACTCTAACATTTTGCCGCAATTAAAAGTCACATTCACACTACATATTAATACTAGTTCAGTACCAACCAGAATTTCACGATCATTTGGAAGAATTTCTTAAATGGAAGAAGTATTTAAATTGATGCAATAATTCTTAATGTAAAATGACTTACCTCCAACTCTGCCGTCACTGCTTGTTACCTCGTGATAAAATATTACAAATAAAATAAAAAAACTAAAAAAAAAACACGCATTTATACATTTATTCTTAGAAAACAATGAAATATTCTTAATAATATTTGGTATTTTTGAATATTAGGAAAACAAATGTATTAAAATTAATTAATTTTTATTAAAAATTATTATTCTTTATAAAAGTTATTACACACAACTTTACTAAAACAGTTTCTATTGTACATATTGTTATTGGAAACACATTAAAATATTTGTGAACCTTCCTTCTTGGTCATAAAAAATGTTTGTAGAAACCTACATATTACACTGCTTTTGAATAAGTAGACCTGAGATTTTTTAAGATAAAATATTTTTCTGTAAAATAAGCAAGACTTAAATATGAACCAGTGAAATGTTCATTACTACCTTAAAAGTAGAATGGTCAGTTTAAGAAAAAATCTCTGTAGTTATAGATAGTATCTGTAACTATAGAGGTTGCACTATAACTTCTAACTAAAGATAGTACCTACTATAACTTTTAAAACTCTGTAGTTATAGATAGGGTATGTGTTCATCTAGATTCTAGGTTGTAAATTATTAATGTCACTTTTCTTTTATAGAGTTATAAATCAATAGAATAATAATTTAATTGTAGGTAAATACTTATAGTTTGCTATGCAGATATTTCAATTTAAGATTTTACAAATTACCTTGATAAAAATTTTAATTTAAAATCCATTATTTATATAGCTAATTAATTCAGTTGTTCTTCCAAGTCAAGAATGCTGACAGCAAGAATGACAAGCATTAGAACCGTTCTAAATTAAACAAAAATATTTATACATTATAAATTTTTAAAATAATGCAATTTAAAATATAATTTATTATTACTATGTATTTATATATGATAATATAATTAGATATTAGATATGTAGATGCCATTTACAAATATCACAATATAATAATATATATATTTAGGGCGGAATTCTATTCTGTTTTTGAGTGTTCCTCACGTTATGTATGTTTAAAAATACTATATTGATATTAACTAAATTAAATGATTAAGTACTCGCATATTCATTACATATTGGAAACAGTTTATTTCTGTACATAGTATAAGACAAAAAAAATTAAAAAATAAATGTTTTGGTAAATTAAAAATCCCAAACTCTAATATTGCGCAATTAAATAGGTATGGGTAGGTTAATTTTATTAACTTTCATTATTAATTTATTTGATTTTTGGTACCTATTTATCTCGTGTAAATTTTTATTTTTATAATTTTACTTCTAAAATCAAATGCAAGTTGACGCTAAAGTAATGTTCTTAATTTTAAAATTCAAAAAAATTATATAGGTAGCTGGGTAAGATACCCTTCTGTTTACATACTTTTTCCTGAGCCTATACATACATATACATACGTACATGTGTACACATTTCTTCAACTTAAAATTTACAATATTGTTTATTAAAAATCAGTAAAAAGCATTTTTTTTTAATTCTTATCTTTTAATTATTTTTAACAAAAGCATATACGCATACATATTCGAGTTTCAAATAAACATATTGTATTATAATGAATTTTTGAGTTACATATTATTCCTAGAAGATGTTTTTCCTGGAAATATATGTACACATATATTTCGAAGAAATCATTTGTTCTGCGAAATTTTTTTTTACACTTACACTTAGCCACTTTATTGCTATTTATTAATTTTTAAAACTTATTCAAAATCATAGCTATTATAATATTTAATAAATATACACAAATAATTTACAAAAATGTAGTTATTATTTCAAATTTTTATTTTTTTAATAATATTAGCACTGCACACAAATCCTTAGTTTTTTTTTTACTTTGAAAATTTTAGTTCAATTTGAATCCACTTGAATTAAAAATGACACATTGCAAACTGTCAAAAATCTTTTATAACATCAAAATAAAGCCCACCCTAATAGCCGTTTCCACGAGTTTGATAATCCTAGCTAATCATAGTTTTGTAACAATAGCTATCACGAGCTGAATGAAAAATCATTTGATTGTCAAGAATTAAAAATTATCTCAGTTAGTTTTTAATTTTTAAAATGTTCTACATTCTCAAATAAATAGAAAAAAAACTTTACATTCAGTTTAACAACTCATTTAATAAAAATAATAAGCCTAGTTCTAAATAACTTGATTAAAAAATAGATTAAATATCTTTATCAACGTCAAATCATAATATGTTGTTTTACACACTTTTCATATTAATACTTGATTTTTGTGTGTTATTTCTTTTGAGGTTAAAAAAATTAATATAAGTTTAAATCGTAAAAAGGCTTTTTTATAAAATGGCCAACCTAATAAATCAAGCTTCTTTCAAAATAATATTATTTTTCTAAGATACGAAAATACGAATATTATATGGACCTACATATGTACATAATTTATAGTACAGGCTTTAAGTAAAACTAATTTGTCTGATTCTTTTAAGTTGCCGTCTTATAAGCCTAGTTTGATCTTGATTGATTTGCGATCGTTGAAGGCGCGTGGGGTTATCACTGACATGATGTTTATCCATCAGCTTGTATCGCTGAAATTGTATTTATGTGCCTGTTTAGTTGTATAATGTTCCTTATCCTTCTACTGATTGTGGAAGAAAAGAGCCGGTCACTTGAAGGTTGCATTGCATTAATTATTTGATATTTGATTCCCCTCCCTTTCCTGTTGAGGATGCTTGTTGCTTATTTGCAACTGTATGATGTTTACTGTCTTTTGACGAGATGCTTAATGCTTGATCTAAGCAACATTTGTCTGATACTAGTATTCATAGTAATATTTAAAAATAAGGCACCATTTTGTCCACTTCGATTTTGTTTAAATTTTTTTCTATTCAAATTTTTATAAGAGATGTCTAATAACATTCCAAATTAAGAGCTGCATTGAAAGCTCTATTTAAAACTGTTTACAAAGTTGAATTTAAATAGGTTACTCATTTTGTTTGAAAAAAATCCAATTAAAATTTATGTTGCAAGTCATATGGATAGAAATTAGATTTATTTTCGCATAAAGTAGATTAAACTGATTTTAGTTTATAATATGTTCTATTACTCTAAATGGAGACTTAAAAACATACGAAATTTAATAGGAATATTTACGTTTAATTGTTTATATTTTATAATTATAATATATAAAAAATAATAATAAAAAGGATATTTATATGTACTAAAGATTTCTGTTGATTCTATTGCATTGATGTTAATCCAGCTGAAGTACTTATATGGGCTGAGGTCGAAAGCGTGGAGGCCATATCTTGGTAACTAAACTAAAAACATTTAAAACATACGATAAGTTTGCTTTATTAAAAAATATCATTGTAAGCTCTTTACTTACATGCGGAAACATAGGTTCTTCTTGAATAGAATTTAAATTAGAAGGGGCTGTTTGATCTGGTGGCGTTAACTGAACGCTTTCTCCTGTAAATTCACTATCGAAATATCTTGTGTCAGTGTCTGATGTAACTTGAGGTTTAAAGGGCGGGGTTATCTAAAATAATAAAAAAAAGTTATGCATTTTTTGTGAAATTTGAAATTTCTTTTATTTTTACCTTTTTCTGTACTAGATCCGTCCAATTTATACTTGAAAAGAACGGATGTACTTGAATTTCTTTAACATCATCTTGACCTCCACCAAGTCTTTTAGAAGGATCTTTGACCAGCAAGCCACTCAAAAGACTCTTTGCTTCTTCTGAAATTGTTTTAGGAAATCTTACATCCTCAAGTAATATTAACATAAATAATACATCATGATCGCGATTGTAAAATGGAAGACGACCAATAAGCTAAAACCATAAAATACAAATAAAGAAAATTATTATGAATAATTAAACATTTTGCATTGTGATTACCATTTCATACATAACTACACCAGTACCCCACCAGTCAACGGCGTGTCCATAGTCATTATCTTCTAAAACCTCAGGAGCTAAATATTCTGGTGTTCCACAAAATGTTTTTGTCGTTCTACCATAGTGAATATCTTCTTTGCATAAACCAAAATCAGCTATTTTAATATGTCCGTCTTTGTCTAGTAATAAATTTTCCAATTTCAAATCGCGATAAATAATTCCTTGTGAATGTAAATAACCCAATGCTGATATAATTTCAGCACCATAAAATCGTGTTCGATCTTCTGAGAATTGCCGTTCTCGACTTAAATGAAAAAATAGTTCCCCGCCATTGACATATTGCATAACAAAACATAAACGATCAGCAGTTTGAAATGAATATTTGAGAGACTAAAAAAAATTAATAAAGAATTTTTAAAATATGTGGAATAATTTGTTTTAATACGGCAGTTCATAATAATGTAAGAAAATCAAATTAAAAGTAGTCAAACTATATACTAATCAACACTTCATTTCTATTTATTTTAACGTACCTAATATTCTATATTATTTAGCATACAATTTATATATATATATATTAAAGACAAAATGCAAATTTTTATTATAAATGTCTAAAAATTAAAAATACTCTAATTTTAATTTATTTCTAGTGTTAAAGACAAATTTCAATAACAAAAATATCATTTGCGTAAACAGCAATGTATTGTTTTACACAATCATTTTTAATTAAAATTGCTGTTAATTGTTCTTCACGCAAGCGTGAGATTCAGAAATATGAAATAAATAATACTTACAATTAGGAAAGGATGATTAGTTGTTTGGAGAACCCTGCTTTCTGTTAATGTATGAGTGACTTCATCTTTAGCTATAATTACTTCTTTTTTCAAAATTTTAATTGCATATAGCTTTGCTGTTGATTTTTCGCGACAAAGAATTACTTTTCCGAAAGTTCCCTTTCCCAAAACTTTTAAAAATTCAAACGCGTCCAAGGTCTAAGTAAAAACAAAATATATGTATGTATGTATATAAATTTTAACTTTTACATTAAAAATTTGAAAATCAAATTATTGCTCCTTTAGTTTTTTCTTTTTTTCACTTACAACTTTCTTTTTTCCTGTAGATTTTCCAGTAGATGTGCCCTGAATTGAACACTTTTCAGGTAATTCGTCAACAGCGATAGATGCCATATCCACATCATCTATATCGGTAGAAGTTGATGGGGACATAGCTACTTCTCCCATAGCACTTAAACGATTTGCAACGTTCCTAAAATAGTTTAATTGAAAGATAAAACACTTATTGACTAATACTTACCGTATAGCATCAGTCCATTCTTGTCTTTCCAACTCTGTTTCAACATAAAATGTCCTTTCTATTATATTTGTCCACTGTAGGCCACGAATTATAAATGTATACGGTTTTGGTCGATCTACAGTCATTATCTGACAACCTTTGACTGTAAAATTATTTAAACGTTCATTTGGTGTGTTGTTTACTGGTACATTTCTATATCCCATAAGAGTACCATCATCTCTTAATATGAAATATCTTGCTCTCCATGTTTTTATATGCTCGCCTCGCTTGTATAACCAGCCTTCTTTTACAATTTGCGAAGTAGGTGTGCCAAGAGTGTCATATGACATTTTTCTTAATATTAGAATTTAAGCAATTATATTATATTAATTTTAGTTATTGATAAAAATGTTAGTGACTAATCTGTTAATTATAATCTTATAGGCCCCAAAACGTCCTCAAATAAATCTAAGTTTCAATCCTAAAAATAAAAAAAAAAGAATTTGTGTAAGCGTAAGTTTCTAGTTGCAAATAAAATTATCTCAACTATTGGTAAATTTAGTATAGACTGTGTAAGTCATCTTTAAATATTTTTGGATGGATCAATTGCCGAATAGATGTTGTACTTACATACATATAGGTAGGTACTAATGTCGGTATGTTGTAAATTTTTCTAAAAATCTTAATACCTCGTACAACGAAATTATTCAGTATGTATTTTATTTTTTACATTGTGCGTTCATTAATTAGCGTGTCAATTAATATAATAAACATTATGTCGTATTTTTTTGGCTCATTCCACACTGAAATTGCTAGGATCTAAATAGGTTGGTAAATTTAATAACAAATTAGTCATCAGTCATTTATTCATTCCTCTAATGATAGGTAAGTGTCGTCGATTTGCATAATTATGCGCTTTTTAGACACACAAAATGTATATTATACACATATGTGACACTGTACCTATCATGACACGACTGTCTTAATGTTATAACGTATAAAATATTGTATTTAATTTACTAAACAATACTAAAATTTATAAAATGCAAAATATTTCCAATATTTTTCATTTTATATGTAAATGAAATGTAACACAAATATGTGTTTATAAATTTATCAAATTGCAATCCTTTTCCTAAAGTTAAGACACATTTTTTATAATTATATTGTAAATTTTGAAAACGAAAAAAAAAAACAAAAAGCAACTACATATTATGTACATTGCAACCATATTTAAACAAACGAATTGCCAAAGTTTATGGCATGGTAAATTTATTTCTGCATTAACAAATTTTTGTAAACAGGAAATCTGAGTGATAAAACTACAAATTCAATAATATTTAAACATATTTTAATATAAATTTTTGGAAAACCCAAACTTTCCCAATAACCTTTCACTAATTGAATTTTGCAACAAAATAATTTGAACAAATCTCGATTGAAGATTGAATTATGATATGCAAATACCTAACACAAAAAATTTTTGTTTCAAAATTTCTCTTAATTTTACTGATTTAAGCATATTTTACGTTTTTGCTTATGTTTTACTTTCTACATTATTATCTTACCTGTTTATTTCTACACAATTTTTTTTTTTAAATTATTAATCACGATTCGCGAATACATGAATTTATAAGGAACCAAAAACCAAAGTTAAAATTAAATTTTGTTTTGTAAAAACTAAATTATGAACTATTACAGTTTTTGTTTATAATATTAATTAATCAAAATATTTGTAATTTGATTTCTTATGCTTTGTCAAATATAATTACGAAATAATACACCATTTTTTTCGTTTCATACAGAAGCACATTGAAAAACACTACCCTGGTTCGGTGACGATTATGAATTTTGAAATGCGTAAAAAAAAACAAATTAAACAAAAAAAATAACTAATTAAATATACTTTTATAGTTTACTACTTTTTTATGTAATATTCTTTATTTTTTAAATAATCGTACAAATATATTTTTCTACCAATCCATTACATTAGACCAAAAAAAAATATAAAGGTTTTTTAATATCCTTCTGTCAAGCCGATATTTTTATTGTAGTTGTAAAATATGGCTGAATGCTGCTGAAGCCAATTTTTCTAATATGCGTCAGTTCAAATGTCATGGCGTCAATTAAAAATCTCTGTGGTGACCTCTTACGGAATTTCGTTTATACATTTAAGTTTTACAGACTTTAAATTGCGTGAATTGAAAAATGTTCTACAACTTTCATAATGCACTTAGTACGATGAATTTATATTGAATTTGAAGAAGTATATCAAATCAAACTTTCATAATATGTTTGTATATATTTTTTTAAATTCAATATAAATTCATCGTAATAAGTGCTTTGTGAAAATTTTAGGAGTGGATAGAAACCTGACAGGTTTATATTGAATTTGAAGAGGTGTATACAAACCAAACCAATTTTTGGAGGTTTGTGTCCATTTCTACAACTTTATTGCACTTAGTCTGTAAATTTATATTGAATTTGAAGGCTTTATATATATTTCTTCAAATTCAATATAAATTCAGTGTACTAAGTTTTTTAAGAAAGATGTAAAAATGGATACAAACTTCAAACATTATAAATAACATTTGAACAAATGTGCAACACAAACATATTCTGTCATATATTTTTTCTATAGCCAATATATCGTCACTCAATCATAATGTCAATGGTGCTGCTTGTGATTGAATTTTGTATTGTTGGAGCAGTTTTTCCACTTTCACAGAAACTTTAGCATTCTCTTTGAGCCTCTTTGAGAAAATTTTTCCTATAATTTTTATAATAGCCTGACAACTTTTCTTGAATTTACTTTACCATATCTATGAATTTCGATTCTCGATTTATTTAACAGAAACCTTTGCCATATCGCAGATTCAATAATATAAATATGAATTCTGTTTTTTTGAATTATTAGAAATGTATTATACAAAAGTGGAATAAATCATATTTTGTAATTCATTCTGAGATATTGAAAAATATATTCAAAATACATACTTTAAATTTCTCAGCACTTGTTATTATAAGATATGTAAAACACGTAACCCGGGTTGTAGATTTAAATAAACAATTTTAATTTTGCATCTCAGAATGACTTCAACCAGTAATACACTGTGAAGTACATTTTATTACATATTTAGTAACCTATGAAAATATACTCAAACCAAAACAAACTACGCTAGCAAACATACAAATATTCGACTCCTCGCAATATGGTAATTTAGTAATTGATTAATGTGCAAGAATTAATACCAACAATTAATGTTTTAGGATTTTGATTCAGTCAACCGAGTAGCATTTCATTGTGAATGGTTTAAGGAAGAGGCTATGGTCATAAAATCATTTTTATTAATTTATTATCCGACTGAAAAAGCTGGCGAATTGGTATTTACGATTTTTATTTTTTATATAATATTAAAAATATGTAAAACATTTCTTTAGTTTGACTCTAAAAGTCAAAAAAGGTTTTTAAGAAAAACTAGTCTTGATCTTTGTCGGGAAGATTTTTACATTGGTTCCAAATTAGATATATTTGGCCGTCAAATCGAAATAGTGGATTTTGCAGATGAGTTTACAAGAAAATTACTGGGTAAATCTAGGCAAAGGTGCGTACATCTTGTAATTTCAATAGTTCACTTTTGGTTAATTATAAATATGCATGAATTTTAGGATTTTTCTTCTAGTTAAAACTCCTCTAATAAATAAAGCGAGCAATATTTTAAAAGCATTTGAAAAGAGCGGGTTTTGCTTTGCAAATGCTTTAATGGTTCGACTTAATGAACAATATGCTACGTATTTGTTTGGAGATCGGGCTAGAGGAAACCAAGAAATAACGTAATAATATATTTTTGATATAGGCATACACGCAACGTAATTATTAAGTTGAAAATTTTTAGAAATTTAATAAGTGAAATAGTGTCTGGTCCAGTTATAGGAATAGAAATGTTTGCTGACCATGCTTTTCAAAAATTGGAAGACAGTTCTTTTAGTAACGTTGAAGCTCCTAGGAGAAATAAAAATATAGTTTCAGCGGAATTGGAGTTTTTATTTAGTGAAGAAATTTACAAAAAAGGGATTTATTTTTCGAAATCACAAGAAGATGCAAATGATGTACCCTAATTTTTTAACAACAAAACTTTATTTATATTAATTTATTTTCAGGAGTTGAAAAAGTTTTTTTGTAATGAAATAAACCAGTTTAACACTGCTCTACTAAATAACACAGTTTTGGGAATAATTAAACCACACATTTTTAAAGAGGGTTTGTATTATATTTGTATAAAAATAAGAATATATATAGGTATGAAAATACTTAATTATTTTAGGCAAAGTCGGGGAATGTTTACATGAAATAATAAATTGCGGATACAAAATAACAGCATTCAAAATATGCGTTATAGACCGTTCGAATTGCGAAGAATTTTTCGAGGTATATCGCGGAGTATGTCACGAATATATGGTACCAAGCAATTTACATCTTACTTTACATCATCAAACAATTTACCTTTAATAATTTTAATTCTTGAAAATTTAGCAAATGATATCTGAATTGGCTAGCGGACCATGTCTAGCATTGGAAATACAAAAACCAAATAGTCAAGATATTCATAAGGAATTTCGAGAATTCTGTGGCCCAAAGAATCCTGTTAGTGTGACCTTTAAAATAATCAAACATTTTTTAAATATTATCTTCTTTTATTTAAAGGATATTGCAAAGCAACTTCGCCCAAATACACTAAGAGCTAAATTTGGAAAAAACAAAGTACTTAATGCTATTCACGTAACGGATTTACCTGATGACGTTATTTTGGAACTTCAATATATATTTAAAATTTTATAAATTAACTTATCTTTGCAAATTGTTCATAAAATAATAAAAAATATATATGTACGTACATACATATACAAAAAAAATATTTATATAAATTATTATTTATTTCATTATATTATATTATATTAGGCTCGTCACCTACCTAGTAAACTCAATGACGTAAGAAACTGGTGTTCATGGTTGTCTATAATATTGTGCACCAGCCCTATGCTCCTCCCGGGAGCGAAGTAAGAATAAAACAAAAAGTATTTATTATTATTGTGGTTTCAATTATGGTTACAATATTTGTATTCTGAAATTCAAAGAAACCTGTAGAAATATCAAATTTTGCAATATCGAAAATTATGTTCATGTCCATATAGATACAAATTCTTCTCTTTTATCATTTTAATTTGCAAACAAATGAGACATATTACATAATATATGCACTACAAAATGTAAAGAACTATTTTCAAAAATTTAAAATTTGGTTGTAGTTCTAATTTGAACTACGTAATATATTGAGAATCAATTAGTATTATTGAACTATAATTATATTTAACTCAAAATTATTAAAATAGTATTTAATTATGCAGAGGGAATCGAAATTGTGAAAATCTTCCTAAAGTTTTGTGATAGAAGAGCATTGATCGCGTGAAGAGCTTTTGAAGGAATGAAAAACAAAATTTAATTTAACAATTTTAATCTTTTTTATGATTGTTGAATATAATATGTAGTTTATAGCATGCATAATTATGTTTACAGATGAAATTTGGAGAAAATAAAATCAGAATTTCAATATTAAATTTATAGAGAATAACTGACGTGTATAAGATAAATTTGGTCACATTGAGATTATAAGAAAATTATTAAGCTCTTAATATATCCTGCATCTCATCTTTTTCTCAACAAATTAAGAGAAAATGAATGATTTTCATAACGTATGTTTTAATTTAGAATATTTTAATGTTATGTCACCCGCTAACCTTGAACTTAGCATGATTTTTAGGAGACCCTTTTAAGCTTTTTGTCTGAATTTTTTACAATCTTTCAAACTTTTACATTTTGTAGGGTATGTATACATAGGTAGGTACAAAATAAGTTTATATAAATTTCTAAATAGTTTAAAATATACATGCATTACTTTTTAGAATTTACAGTGTGAGTTTATTCTTGGTTATTGAACAAAACGGACTATTATTATAAACTAAAAATTAAATAGATTTGTAGATTTGTAATTTCATTTCAATTCAAATGAGGGTATAAGATTTTATTTAATGTATGCGTCTTTGTTTCACCTTTATTTTTTAATGATGCGTACAATGTAAATAATTGCGAACGAAATATCGAATTTATAACAGCATTATCGAACAAAATTCCCTCAGGTATGTACAAAATAACAAAACAGAAGTTAAAACACGTTTATTTGTATACTTTTCAATTTCAATGTTTAATATCAATAACAGCTCTCTCCATCATCGCTTTAAAATCACATGTTGATCTCTTACAAAAGAAACTACAAACAAAATATTGGACGAAGAAATTGTAAAAAAAAACACAATTTTACCAATCTACCATTCGTCTAAGTGGTGATTTTGTGATCAGTTCGAATTTTTTTTTAAATGAAGAAGTAGTAATAAAAATCGTTGAAAAAACGATTATTTATGCACATACCATTTGTTTTGATTTTATTTGCATATCGTATTCATACACAGATATACATATGTACATACATACATACTTATGAGTAAAATAAAAAAGAAATTTGTGTTGAATCCGTATTAAATAACGAAATTAAAAATATTTTTTTAATTTGTTTTTAACAATATAGTTTTAAAATGAAATTATATATAAAAAGTATTATTATAATAAGTTTGTCATTGTTTATACAGCCGCATATGTGTACTGCAAATAATGCAATTACAGGTAAAAAATAATGAAATTACAAATTTAAAATGTGATAACTACCTACATAATATACGATAGAATTGTATACAATATTGAATTATAACTTAATTTCTTGATTAAAAATGTGATTTTCAAATACAAATAGTGAGGTCCCACCTATGTACATACATTTGTACATAATACTCATAATATCTACTTTAAATTCAAATTGAATTCGAAGATGCCCGTTTACTAGCGACTGCAGCATTTTGAGAAAAAATTCTTGATGGTTTCTTTAAAAAATAAATTCATGGATTTTGAAATATTATATGAGAGTACCTACGTAAATTAAAAACCTACATTTATACCTGCATACATACATAGATATATCGTTTTTCTTACAGCAATTTGATCAATCAACAGAATATTTTAATTTTCTGTACAAAAATTTGTACATAATAATTATGCATACTTAAGTATGTATTTATGTATATAATTAAATATATTACATAATTTATTCTATATATATATATCTAGATATCTACCTACTTTTGTTTATTTCAAAATTTAATAAAAAAAACCGTTTCATTTTTTTAACACGAACAATTAAACAATATTAATATTAACATTTAAACACCGTTTTGTAAAATATGCCCATAAGTTCTATTAATTCAGTATATAATGCTATATTAAGTGATTAAAGTTCAACCTTAAGTGAAAGTATTCAGCATTACAAATTTTGTAATTTTTTTAAATGTGTAATATTGATACATACTTCTTTTAACAATTGTTGTTTTTTTAAGTACGCGCATTCAAAATACCTACATATGTATATATCTAAAAACATATTTTCATAAATACATAATAATATAATACATGTATAACTTTTAACTGTAACTTATATTGTATGTTTATAATTAATTAGTTTTTGTTTTATGTTCAATGAAAGAATCGTGCTAATAGAAATTTCGAACATAAAAACTGGAAATAAGCGTTTTAAAACTTATTAACTTGCATCAAAATCAGAATAAAATCAAAGAGTTAATGACAAATATCCTAACAAATGTAAAACAGAACCAAAGCGATGAGCAACAACGGCGGACGATTTCCGTTGTAAACATAGAACTGTTCAACCGTTCAGATTTTTCATATAATGTCACACATGCAAACATGATGATGTCAAAAAATATCGACAGCGATAAAATAGATTAAATCGCGGCGGTAATATCGCTTAATTCGTACAAATCCCATTTTAGTGTCTAATAATTTAATATAAATTTTGACATTTCCCCGCGAAGTACGGGGAATTATTTTAATTTATGTTAGTTAGATTTTTTTTGAGTTTTACTTTTTTCATTTATAACTATGCATGCATATGTACTTATTTATAAAATATAAGTAATTTATTAACATTTTTTTTATTTTTATGAATAACCGAGAAGGAATAACACGAAAAACAATATTACCATTGAAAAATCAAGAAACCTCACGTCAACATCAGTTAAGGCAGTCTGTGCAGAATTTAATGTCCGGATTCGTTAATGGACTTTCAAACACCGTACAGGGTTTACAGGTAACAGCACAAAGATTGCAAACTACATATAGTCAAATATCGAATGTTGTTACAAATCGTGTCAATGCGACGACGTCAGCTGTTGGAGAACGTTTACCTTGTGAATGTGATAAAGGGATTTGTAAGTGTTGTACAGGTAAAGGACATTTGCTTTATATTTTTTGCGTTCATATATTAAGATTATTTAGCTGACCACTGTGTGTTCAAAAATTATAAATTCTTAGAACAGATGTTATATCTAATTAAGAACGTATCCCAAATATATCAGTTTTCATTCTTTTTCAACTATTTTGGTTTTTGAATGGTTATTCGAATTAAATGCCACATTATCATTAACATACTTTTAATTTAGTTATTGTTAAACTAACCTCGAAGTTTATTATTAAATTAAATTTAACTGAACTATTTATTAATCTATTTTCTCTTGAAAGGTTTTAATATGTAAGTACTTACATACACATTTATGTATTCTATTGTAGGAAGAGCATTATTAGCAATTGGTTTAAGGGGTTGCATGGAAGTTGTTTATTTTCCGGAAGACTTTGCTTTTGAACTAAAAATGAAAATGAATGATATAACACTATACAGAAATAAAGTGTCTGGAAAAAACCCGCCGCCAATGTGTTTCAGGCCACCAAGATTTTACTACATTAGAGCCTGCATTACACTATATGATATATACTTCATTGGCCAAAATATGCATGTCTGTATGGACATAGGAGGATATTTCGAAGGATATGAGGTTTTTTCAAGGTATTTATAACATTTTAATTTTATTTTTATGCTTTAAAAGTATTTTTAATTTTAGATCTTTTGACTGTCTCATGTTTGGAGATAAGGGTGTTAAAATTGTGAAACCAGAGGAAGGATATCCAATAAGACCGACGGATGTAGATATATATGATGAAGATGATGAAGAAATAGAGGACTATGATGAAAACGTTGTTCGAAGAGCCCTCCTTTAGTTTTGACCTTGTCTTAGTTTTTATCTTGCAACGGATTTACTGTTAATGTTGTTTTTATTATTATTTATTTATTAAATTACAGACATATTTTTATTTTCCTAATCATTTAATATAACTGCTCTTTTTTAAATTTATACTTTTCCAGTTATGTTCAAGAGACATGTACCCGTAAATAGTTTTGTTACATAGTCACATGCATATATAATAACAGATCTGTCCAAAATAGCTATATCATTACAATGCCTTGATAGTGTTCAAGATAAAAAAGTGACAATATAAAATTGACAGAAATAAGTACATACTTATGTATGTCCTTGATAATTTTTTTTCTAAAGATGAAAGTAGAGCAAAAGCGATTTTCTGCGGCGAAACATATATAAATGAGGATTTATATATCTTTAATATACATAAGTATATAAATAGGACCCCAATTAATCGACGCCGATAATAGCCTAAATTTCTATATCATCGCTGGTAATTTTTTTTGACATCATCTGTTTCCATGTTTGTGTGACATTACGTGCAAAATAAATGAACAACTTTTACCTTTCTTTTACCATTCCATTGTGTTCCCGTGTTACCAACGACAATCGTTTGACGTTTTTTTTATGTTTTTACACCTTAATTTAGTAGAACCCTGATTAAATTATATTACAGAAACTTCCCTTTGTAAACACCCGAATAGCTATAATCAATATCTAACTATTTTGCCAAATATTCGATACAAAAAATATTGTTTAATCAGAATGATGGTAACACTAAATTTAATTTTGGTTGTGACAAATAGATGGCTATTGCTTTTTTGACATTTGTAGATTTTGCGTAGTTTGACAACAGTAAAATGAATATGACATTTTATTGGCTTGGGAAAAATAAGAAGAAACAAATATTTTGCTAATAAATTGCATAATTTATTTTTGTTATTATGATTAAAAAGGTGTATTTTATTATGTTAATAATTTGTGTTAAAAAATTTAAGATAATCTGATAATAGTAATAATTTTTCTGTGTTTCAAAACGTTATTAGTTATGGAATTTATTTTTGTATTGAAGTCCTTCCTATATTAGATAAAGTTGTGCAGTGGTTAAAATGTAGTTTTGTTTTGAAAAAAGTTATTACGAAAAGCGTTTGGAAAAGCAAAAAAAACTAATCATACAATCTTAATACTTAGTAGAATATTATAGGTAATTTTCATGTTTTACTAAAGGAGATTAATTATTTTATTAAATTATATATCCGGCAATAGTAAAACAATTAAAAAATGTCTGGTTACAAATGTGTTAATTACTACGATTTGTGTCGTCTATGCACAACAAGTAGTGGATCGAGAATAAATATATTTTCGGAAGAAGGTAGAAAAAAAAATATGTCACAAAAAATTTCAGAATGTTTGCCAGTAGTGGTAAGTTATTTATATAATCCGAATGCCCAAAGATATTTAACTTTGAGCATTTTGTAGGTAGATGAAAAAGATAATTTGCCAAAAATTATATGTGAAACCTGTATAGCACAAGTGGAATCAATATCTGAATTTCGTACCGTTTGTTTAAATTCCCAAGCAATGTTAGAAGGTTGTATTAACACGGCCACCTTACAGAATGGCGGCAAAATTTATATAAAAGAAGGCGGAATGACATTGAAAAACATATCAGTAACATCTACCAATACTGTAACTAATCAAACTGGCACAATTAATCAGACAAACTCAGATTTCTTGAGTTCAATTATCCAAGCAGTGGGCATCCAAGTAAGTTAGCGATAAAAAATTAAATGTAAAATTAAATGTAAATTGAATAAAAAAATATTTGACTTTTTTATATGACTTTGTTAGAATGAGGATATTCAAGATACAAAACCATCAACGCTTCCACAATACACCATAACGTTAGATGGAAAAACCTTGTCAAATGAAATTGAATACAAGGTTCAAGAAGTCCCAATTACAAATGTTCAACCTCAACAAACTCAACAACAACAAGCAACAGATAATTCAGAAAAATTTTTTAAAAACAAGTAAATAGTTGAATATATTATTTATTTTGTGTTATTAAAGTTTAAATGTTTAGTTCACTGGCTGAATTTTTAAAAATGAAACCCAATATCCGGGTCACACCCGTGAAAAAGAAACAACAGGTTCAATTGCAACAAACTTCTGTACCAGCAGCAAAGTATCCGAAATTGGAGATACAGCATACAGAGGCTCAGCAAGTAGCTGTACAAACTGATGTAGTGAAAAAGACTAATACTGTTATGAAAACAAAAAAGCAAAAATACAATTTAATATTAACTTCACCAACATCTAAACAACAACAAACCGCACCACAGATTATTACGCAACAGCAAATTGTTCCAACCCAGCAAGTTCAACAATTACATTTTAATCCACAAAATACAACGGCACTAGTGCCAACATCTACGGTGCAGTCGACTATTCCCACTAAATCCTTAGCAGTCCCAGATTGGAAGCTAGTTTCAGCTCCAAGTTCAAAGTGTTTTTTACCTTTAACCATTAAGGATAGTAGTAATAACGATCAACAAATTGTGGCTCAAATTGATACAAAAAATTTAATTTTGCCAGCGACATATCAACTGCAAATGAAGGTAAATTTTATTTTGTTGCGATAGGAAATTTGAATTTGTATTATTTTTAATATGTTTTGTTTGTTAAATATTATATTAGTTGGTGCTTTATGTTCATTTTACATAAATATATGAATACTATACAAAAATTTTTATTGTAGCTCCAACCTCAGTTAACCATTGATGGGCAACAGATAGTGCAATTAGCTCCCGCAGCCATACCTGCAACTATTTCTTTAGCACCATCTCAATCAGTAACACAGACATTTCAAGACCATCAAATTGTGTCATCAACCGGGATCGATGCTGCAACATCTACTAGTGAATCTGAAATAATGTTAAATGCAAACCAAATAACAAATAATCAACAACAAAATTTAAATATGCAATCTTCAAATATAAATTTGCAACAAATTCAGTCAATACAAAATGCAGCGGTGTCTTTACCACAATTACAAATAAAAAATATTGCGGGAACGGCTGCATTAACGAATAACGTTAACCAGCAGGTCACCCCACAAAAATTATTCAATAATAGTATTACAATCCACCGCATAACAAACGCAGCTACTACACTACAGCAAAATAAAACACAACAACAACAATCACTTCAGCAAAACCAGATACAGCCCATTCAACAAAAGCAAGTTCAACAACAATGCTCTCAGCAAAAACAAGTGCAGCAACAATGCGTTCAACAAAAACCTGTTCAACAACAATGCGTTCAACAAAAGCAAGTTCAACAGCAATGTATCCAACAAAAGCAAGTTCAACAACAATGTATTCAACAAAAACAGCCCGTTCAGCAGCAGTCTTCTCAAAATCAGGTCAGTCAGTCAACGACACAAGTTCAGTATTTAACCACCTCTGGATCCACCAAGCTGAAACCAGTAAAGCTTATCCGCACCACAAAGTTGACACCTGCTCAGGCAAAGCAGGTAGCCGCTCAGCAAATTGCAAATAAAAAAGTTACTCTAGTAAGTAATCAAACTATTCAAAAATTGCAGCAAAATACAATAACAACTCAGAAATTACCAGTTCGACGACCTCAGCCTACAAATATAACTCAACCCCCATCATTAGCAACGCTTACAGTAACACAACGACAACAAGAACAATCACAGCATATACTACTGAAACAACCCCCCCAACAGCAACACCAATCACAGAATCAACAGCAATTACAACAACAGCAAGTACAACAGCAGCAACCACAACAACAGCAATCTTTACCAGTACAAAGACAAAATAATGTTGTAAAAAAAACATTACCAGTTAAAACTTCAAATCCAGCGCTTGCTCATACAACTCCATCAGCAGCTGCAGCTTTAGCGACTGTTAACCCCGTAACCAATTTACTTGAATGTTCCGTTTGTTCTCGAGGGTTTAAGAAAAAAGAACACCTTGCTCAACATATGAAATTGCACGCAGGATTACGACCTTTTAAGTGTAGTGAACCTGGGTGTACGAAGGCATTTAGTAGAAAAGAACATTTGATGCGGCATATTGTGTCACATACTGGTAAAAAAATGTTTTGTTGTGATATGTGTCAAAAATTCTTCTCCCGTAAGGATAATTTAAATAAACACAAAAGGTAATTTCAAAAGAGTTTTTTGAGCGGAATATAAATTTTCACAAAGCAATTTTTTTCTAAAATTTTAGAACACATTCCGAACAATCTTCAAACTCGAGGAACCAATTTGTATGTAATGTATGTTATAAAAGTTTTGTTGTGAAGATGTATTATCTTCAACACAAATTATTACATGTAAATAATGAACAACAACAGACAGATGGTAATTCAAAGTTCGAGGTAAATTTATAATTTCAAGAGTGTTAAAATTATAAATTTTAAAAATCCTCTGAATAAAACATAAATTATTTGTTATCGTGTTCCAGTTGTATCCGTTTTATTCATGCAAATTAATATGCATCTTTTTTGTAATTTAATAAATTATCCTACATTTAATAACATGTCAGCATCTGTTCTGTTTTTAAATAAAATTTTTATTGAACTAGTCTAATTCATAAAAATCTGTTTCTAGCAAAAGAATGAAGACACCACAACAACAAATTCGGGAACAATAACAACAAATTCTGATAAATTTAATGTAAATACTACAACCCAAATAAATAATAATACTGGAGAATTAAATAGTCAAATAAAATTAGAAACACGACAGGAACTTCAACAAAAGAATCAACCTCAATTGGTTCAATTACAGTTACCAGTAGCAACTTCAAATGATTTTAACGGTGGCACGATAACAATTAGTCAAGCTGATGGTACTACAACAACAGTTTTGAAAACACTAGCTAATCATGATGCAACAGTTTTAAATTTACCAACAAGTTTAGCAAATTACATGCAATTAAACTCGGCTCAATTTATAACAACATCGGGTGAAATAGTGGGGCACATCAAAATTGAGAAATAGCTTTGTGTTTTAGAATCAAAATATTGTAATATATAATTATCGGAAACTTTTTTAATATTTAAATTATAAATATTAATTTCGCTGATTTTATTATATATATATTTTTTAATAATTTTTATAATTTATTTATTTATTTTACTTTTAATTTCTTTTTCTGTCACTTTTTTAATTGGCCAAAAACTTGTAGTCAAACTATTTTAACTTGTGTTTTAAATTTTTCAAATTCATTCAAAAGAAATTTGTTTGAAACTGAACTTGTTTTTAACCTATATATTAATATTTTCTCGTTTACAACTTAGTGATTTTCTTTTTTTTTATTACTTAAAGTTTTTTTAAATGATGAAAAAAAAGTCTACAAAAATGTGGTACCTACTGTTCTATTTATATTCATTCGTTGTGAAAAACGACCTTAAATGTTGAAAAACGCTTTAGAAAACAGAAAAGCATTCTACAATATCATGTACATATTTTTAAGCAAAAAAGATAAAACTTAAAAAATCATAAACTAGTCGAAAAGTTGAAATAAAAGTTAGTATACATATTATGTAAGTTACATTTTAATTTTAAAAGTAGAATTGCAAAATAATTTTTAAATTTCTTACTTTTTTTTAAGTTTCTAATAAAATCAGTGTTATTAAAAATTAATTTTAGCGTGTATATAATTCTGTAAATCTCAGTAATTAATAATGAGTAATTAGAAATTTTGTAAAAACGATAGTTTTATGTAAAAAAAAAATTATAAAAAATTTATAATAAATTATACCAAAGTGTAATATCTTTTTAAGAATTTTAGAATTAAAATTAAAAACACTAAATAATTCTTTAAGTGATGTAATTTTTAAGAAATTATTCATGGAAGTGTATATTAAGCATTATATATATAATTATACATATACAAAATTTTTGTCGAAATAAAATTTAAGAGTTTCAAAAAAAAGTATTTGTACAAAATGAAAAAAATAAAAAAAATATTAACATTTTTATTCAAATTTTAAAAATATAGATATATTTTGAAATTAAACATTTGAACAATTTACTTTTTTTAAATTCTATTTCAATTAAAAAAACTGAAAATTATACTTTTTTTTTATGATATTCATAATATTAAAATCTATCTTTATACAAGCACGTACATATTTTCTTTTGGATCTAAAAGGGATATTGTTTGATAATATATAAAGTGATGAATTTGAATTAATTGAATTTTATTCTTTCTTGTTTCAGATAAAATAATTTTAAAATAATTAAAATTGCCAGTGAAGATAAATTTAGTCAAATTTTATTCAAGAATATAATTTATGAAAATTTTTATGCGGACCCTATTTTACAAGTATTAAAAAAAAATTTTATAAACTTAAAATCACCAAATTAGGCTTTGTGTATAAGTCAAAGTAAATAATACGTTTATTTTAATGTGATAATTGAAAATATAATAGAAATTTCTTAATACTTACATAACATTTAAAATATTACACAGTTGAATTATTTGCTAAAAGCAAAATGTAGATTAAGGATTCGGTAAGAACTTCATTTTTTAATATTTATGACTTTCTAGAGCTTATCTTTTATTTTATACATTTTAATAAATCCTAGATCAGCGAAAAAAAAACTCTATTTTCAGTTTTAATTAATACATATTTTAATTTATTCTAAATCTTATTATTTATTGCATTTTTACAATTTAAACAGGTAGCAACACTATTATAATTACACAAATTTTGTGATAAATACGCAAATAATTTTTTTTTTTATTTTTTAGTTTTTTTAGTTAATCTTGTAAAAGTGCGAAAAAAAAATATTTTGTAAATATTACAATACATATATTAAAACATTTATTAAATAGATAATATTACATATCGTATGAAGAAGGAACAATAAAAAATGTATATAAATATTTGCGAGCGTCAGGAAAATAAATTATAGCATTCATCTTTGGCTTTAAATTTTTCTCAATATTCATTTATAAATTACATATCTCATTTTTGTAGTTTATTTTTAAATTTTGTACATGAGTTTTGATACTCATTTAATTTTACGAATATCTAAATGTAAGTTCATCAATTTTTGATACATCTCCCCATACTTGTACTGTTTGAATATTATCTATATACTGTGATAAATCAAATTGTTCAACAAAATTTCTTGATATATCACTTTCAAAATCAGTCAATGCGTATACCAAAACTTGTCGATTATCAAAATGGAATAACACCATAAAAGGCTCATCTGGAATAAAATGACAACGTTGTTGTACTATTAAAAAATTTTGTAGTTTTCGTTGAATTTATTGAAATTTAATACAAAGGTACTTACTTTCATCAAAAAATTCATTTTCAATTTTAACTTCTTCTTCGTTCCAACTTCCATCCTCTTTACTATTGAAAATAATTTCATTAGATGTGAAATCTACTTTAAAATGAATTAATACATCTTGCGGTGGACTACAACTATCTAATGTAAAATTAACTGAAAATCTAAAGAAAAAATTTATAAATATTAAAGTATATAGAGGTTTATCATAATATTATAAAATAAAAAAATATAAAGATATTAAATTGGAAATTTATTAATAATATATTTAAAAAAAAGAACAAATTGTAAAACCAACAAGGCCGCAACCAATATGTAGAGAATTGTATTGGAAAACTTATGTCTTGATTTCAATTTCCCAAATTACTAGGTGTACTATTAGCTTTATTTTATTCACTAATATGAGAAAACTTTCCGTACCATTGGTACCATGAATATCTACTAAATAGAAAATTTGTCTATACATATTTGTATCTTTCAACCAAATTTTTGTCAATCGGATTTTTGTAATAAATTTCAAGCAAAAACGAATTACGGAAAAGAAAAATTGTAGGCTTAAATTCATATTGTATTCATAAGGAATGTTTTAAAAGTGATAACATAAATTTCAGAATTCCTTAAAAACACATGAAAAATCTCATATGAAGAATTTTTTCTTTCAAAAACTAAATTATTTTTTAATCAAGTTGTATTAATTTTAAGTTATTAAAGTTTGTCAAATAACAATATTCAAACAAATTCAATAGTTAGGAGATATTTAATATTAAATTTTTTTCTATTATCGGAGGAAGAAACTTGTAGGTGCATAATATATCAATAAACTGTCGAACTTACGTATATACTTAAAGTTATTTTAGAGACTCATCAATAAATTGAATCATTGTTATATTTCAAACATGTACATAAATAAGTAAATTATAACGGTTATCATTCATATAAATTTATTTTAAAAAATATTATCTTTATTTAACCAGATGAATAATATCATAAATAAGAAAAAAAACAGATAAGACTTTAAAGTAAATATCCGGTCCGACGACGAATATCCAATTGTTAATTTAAGCAATATAAGGAAAGTGTTTCATAAAGTGTTTTATTCAAATAACTTATACGTATATAACAACTAATAAATAATACATGTATGCACATAAATAAATTGTTAATCGTATGAATTTAGAAACATATGAATGGAGGAAATATATTTGCATAGTACATAGAGACAATATATATTTTATGACAGGATAGAGGGTACGATTTAGCAACAAACTTTTGTAGAATGAAATAAGAACTATAAAATAAAATAAGCTACGTTCAATGAGAAAATTTTGTCTAATTTCAAAAAAATGCTTAAATATCGCAAATCATTGAAACTATCAATATTATAGTTTTGTTTTCCAAACTATCTATCGATAATTAGGAATAACATTCTGTAATTATTTTTATGTTTGTTCAGAATTATTTCCACACCTCCTATAGTTGGCAATCACGTTTTTCTGACTGCATACATAAAAGCAAAGTTATAAGTTTTTATGATGAAAAATATTTAAAAATCAATTTCAGGCTAAAATTTCACGATCTATATAGAATAAAATTCCAGCTACACAATAGGAATTAACATACCAAATGTTATGTAAGCAATTCTTTTTATCCAACTAAGTAAATTTAAGTTACTTGATTACCAATAATATTTTACGAATCGATTCTTCAACACTGCACGTAAATTTATCATTATATTGATCAATAAAAAAATGTTTTTAATTATAAAAGCAATAAAAGGACAACAGCTAATAAAAAGGATTTTAGCTAATAAATTATGTGAACAAACTTATAAATTATATAAAATCCGTGCTCACCAGTGAGTACAAGAAAAAAATTAAGTTAAGTTCCCTCTGTATCACAGATGAAATCCCTTAATTCAAAGAAACTACATTACTTATGTATCTCTTTCGCAAAAATTAAAATTATCTTACATGTTAAAATTATCATTTAGCGCTTGAAAAATGTTCACCGATAGTATACTGAGACTCAACGTGTTAAATTAAGAAACAAATATAATATATTTTTAGGAATTTTCACTCTATTGCATCGATATTATTGGGGTTTCAAAATAATCATAAATTATTGTTTATATTACAAGAATTTAAAAAAAAATTCATAAAATCTACAACATTCAGTAATATTGAATTATTATACTCACTATAGTATTCTCTTAGTAACATAGAATATATTAGACAGAATACACATGTATATACACGATGCATACATAGCACGGTCTCATTATTTGCAAATTTAAAATTATAGACAAATTAAATATGCCAAATTTCTTTCTTAATATTTATTTATTACAAATTTCAATCTTGCGTTTTATTAATAAACTGAAGCAAACGATTATATTGTTTTCCCAAAAATTTTTATGTTCGTTTTGGAAAGTTTTGAAATATTTTTACATTATATGTAAAAACACGTAAGTATAATAAAAAAAAAAATATTAATAAATTTTATAATTATCCATAAAATTATTAAATTATTTGTTTTACCATTGAGTTGAAATTTTAACGTAAAAGAACACATTTTAAAAATAAAGAAAAATCACATTCTTCTTCTATTAAAATTCAAAACTTTTTTTCAAATATGTGAAATACAAGGTGAAAGCTTCATAAAAATGTAGTTGCAGAAGTTTGACAGCGCTTATAGTTACCAGAAATAGGGGACTAAAAATTGGTATTTCGCCAACTTTTTAGGGAATAAAAAATAATTCTGTAAATAAATTCGTCACTTTTATATTTCTAAAATAGTTTAAATTTTAAATCCTCGACCTAATAAGTATACTCATTATTTAAGTATTACAGCAAACGGTTAGTGTGAATAACATGTATAACAGTTATGTATTGTTGAAACACAACAATAAATATGTATAACAGATTAGTATCTAACTAGTTAGGTAGCTAGAAATTTTTTTTAATTTTTCCGACATAACTTTTTCTTCTATAACTACGGTAAATTATTACTACCTCATTTTTTAAATATTTATTTTTGAGTTTTGTGCATTTTTACTTGTAAAGTAATGCATCTGTAGATTATATTAATTATTTAACATACAAATTTCAGTAAAATATATGTGTGTACAAATGTTTGCATATTATTCAGCCTACATATATATTTATTTTTAAATAAAAATTATTAAGAAGCAAGTGTAATACATAAAATAAAAATCAAATAAAAATTTTGGACTATTTTGGTCTGTGATTTAAATGTATGTACATATATGTATACATAAACACGTTATAATATATGAATGAATGTGATGAACTTATGGGCACGTTTAATGAATTTTAATTTTTCGTTTTGGTTTTTTGTTTTCTATTCTTTCATAAACTATATAACAGAAATACACAATACGTGATATACATTATTATTTAGTTTCTTAATTTTCCTAGAAATGAATAAAATTTAAAATTCCAGTCATATTTAATAAATTAAAATAAATTATGGTTATATGAAGCATTTAAATATGGTTAATTCTTTTAAATGGAAAGTGTAATAAGTTCAATTAAAATATTTGAAACTAAATAATAAAAAAATATTGTATAGATGGCCAATATTATGTAGGAATAATTTTACCAAGAATTTGAATACATAATTTTTAAAATACATACATACATACATATATGATTAAATTAATATTGACCTATTCAAATATATTTACATGAATTCTGATGGATTTTATACAATTTAAAAAAAATGAAATAAAGCTAATTTAAAAATCATAAAGATTTATTCTTTTTGTTTATTAAAAAAAGAAACATTTAAATTGTAAAAATTAATCAAAATATGAGTTTTAAGCAAATTTGTTGCCGAATTGAAATTAATCAAACCAATATTACCCAGTTAATTGACAGAAATTAAATTTTCGATATTTATTTACATATTAAGTATATTAACAATTTAAATTATATCGATAAAATTTGGCAGTATTTGACAGTATAATAATAATTTAATTTGTTAATAATAAAAATGAAAATTTTAGTAATTTATAATAACGGAACAGCACATTCTTTGTTTTTTAATGGTACCCCCAAAATTAATACACATACTTATGCGCAAAATATGTCTTATCTGTTCGGCTAAGTAAGATTGACAATATAACTTAATGGAAATTTCTTCATGCAACTGCAGAACAGATGGATGACGTAATCAAAGGAACGAGTTAAAGGCAGAAAAATTAATTAAAAAATTTCTCTCCTCGAACTGGACTCGAACCAGTGACCTACTGCTTTCTAGGCGGACGCTCTACCATCTGAGCTACAGAGGCATGCAAAAATTGCCGACGAAATGTTTTCTACATTGCTTTATACTGTAATTCATATAATTACTAAGTATTTGTTTTGTTTACATTGACTGCTACATACAATCTACTATTGAAACACGTTTAATATAATTATCATGCTCAAATATAAGACTTATATTATATGCCTTCTTCAAATAAATAAATAAGGGAAATAGAAAGTGCGTAGTAATAAATAAAATTAAAAAATATTCGAATGCTTACTTACGTAGCAAATTATATTCAATATTACTAATTTCGCCTATATTTAATTGCTATTCAATATTCATAATTATATCAAAACAAAGAATATTGAATTGTAAATTACGCTAAAAATAGGCTTAAAAGTTAAAACTCATATTGTAATACAATTTTTTATAGATTAAAAAAAAAAACATGCAGTTAATTGTACTATTAAAAAAACTGATGAGTAATTGTCATTACCCTTACCATAAATATTTTTTTGATATTTCTTTTATTTTTCTATTCGTAAATAATAATTTTGTTATTTAAACTATGTATTATTATTTCTTATAAATTTTCTTATACCTTCCTATAGCTATCAACAATATTCTTATACTCGTATTAATATTACATACTCATTATTACATATTGTTATTATTATAACAGAAATATTGAAGTACTCTATAAAGTCTACAATAATGTTGTATGGCATATAGGCAATAACAGAAAAAATTATGGTGAGAAAATTATTTAAAACAAATCAATGGCATCATAATATTATATCTATTATTATACATAATAGAGCAAAATTAATGAGAATTCATGCTCTAAAATAATAAAATAAAAAAAAAAATCCTCTCCTGCCTATTATATATA